GATGATCTCAATCTTCAGCCTGTTTCTAAAGAAATAAAGAATTTGCAGTCTGATAAATTCAAATGAAATAACAACAAGGGTATAAAATTAAATTTTTATTCTTAAATGAAACCCAAACCCAATTCAAAAAAGAATTTTGATTTTGAACGGTCTGTCATTTGTTGCTGCGTATCTTTTTTAAATGCCTACTATTTTAGCTCACATTCCCTACATCCTGTTCAAGTTTTCAATCTTCAATAAAATACTTATTATTCATCCACTCAAGTTCAAATACATTTTTTAAACTTGTAGTGGATGACACTTGATGTTAATACAGTTTTTCATATATTAATTTTTTTGTAATATTTTTTTTTAATTTTTCTTTTTGGCTTAAGTAGGAACTGACTTTAATTCTTTTTTATTTTACTGTTTGAAAGTAAAATTATGTAAAAGGAAAAATATCAAAATTTTAAAAATTAGTATGATATTTCCTCGTAACTAACAAATAAAAAAAGGCTTTTTTTTTTTTTTTTTTTTTTTTTTTTTTTTTTTTTGCCTCGTAACTAACAATCTTATTTTTGATGTAGATGATAGTGTACCAAGATATAGAGTTAAAACTATATTATTTAAATGCAGCTATTAAAATATACATAGAGTTGGAAAATTTGTTTATTTATGATATTAATGCTATGAATGAAATAACACTTTACGGGAAGAAGATGTTAAAAATTACAGACTGTTTTTAAACGTTTACTTTGATATGCTATTAACAGAGCTCTTTAATAGCACGAAAACGAAATTAAAAAAAAAAAAAAAAAAAAAAAAGCTTCGCTGATTGGCAGCAACTTCTTATCTTTACCTGTGTTCCACAAAAATCGCTAATATCCTCCGAATTGTTAAAAATGTGTGATATGTGCAGGATGTAGATGGGTTAATATTTGTCAGCAGAGAGTGAAATTTAATTAGATTATACTAAAAGATGGATTTTTCTCTCGGTAATAACAATGTAGCATGATATAAAGAATTCCGTAAGTTATTAACATTTTATTAAAAGCACAACCGTGGTTTTTGTGAATTGACTTGAAAATATACCTCTTATCAGCTGCAAAAATATCCAGTGGTACCTCGGTGTACGTCCGATTTGAAATGAGTCCTTCTTGGTATACGTTCTGTTTCGACACAAAAATGTTATTTAGATGGTATATGTTATTTGGGTACTTTTCCGTTTCGCCGGCGCAAATCTCGCCAAGAAAACACACGGTATACACATAGAAAATGTTGCCAAATGTTAGTTCTAAGCATTTTGAATTTTGAAAGTATAAGCATTTTAATGTCGTTTAAAATTGTGTAAAAAAGCCAATAAATAAAGGACAATAAATTTGTAAAAAGATATTAATTTAAGAATTTACTATGCTTTGATCGTTACAACATCCTGATTCGACCGGTTCGTATCACGTATGACCCCAAGTGATTTCATCTCACGTAAACTACGCTTTCAAAAATCTAATTCTGTCAGTAATTATCTACATTAATTTCAAGTTAAACCTTAAATTAAATCTTATGGAATACGAATTTAAATGCAATAGAGTTATTTCAATTCGTACGAATAAGCTTACTCAGAAATTATGTAAAACCGCAGTGCTTGACTTCGTTAGTGCATTCTCATTAGAATTGATGAATTTAACTCTTGACTTTTGCCTTTTTTTAATATTTTCGCCATCGGGTGAGCGGTGTGATTGCATCCTAATTGACTTAATTACCTCCCACGAATGGCCTTAGGGCATAAAAGTGAACTATCTTGTAAAAATTCTATGTAACTGTATGCCAGTATTAAAAGAAACAATCAATCTGATAAGAAATGGCTGCGACTTGTTTTGAAAATGTAAAAGTAAAAAGTAAAGGTTACCAGCGAGGATATTTCGTTTGGCATCGGTTGTACCATTACTGGCGACTTTATCGTTTGCACCGGCAAAACGAAAAAGTACCGTTATTTGTTTGGAATACGACTCAGTTCGATGAGTCACGACAGCCTACCACATTTACCGCTTTCAAGACAAATGCTAGGACTGTCCATGAACATCAGTACGCCTGTAGCTGCTGTTCAATAAACAATCCGCGCTATATCTCTAAATTTGCAAGTGATTTTTGAACTCTTTCGCACAGTTTTTGGTTATCAACAATAAAAGTTAATGAAAGTTAGTTTAGAAAAGTTAATGAGCAGAATCAAGCAACAAAAAAACAAAAAAAACCGTTAGGAGATGAAAAAACGAGATTGTAGCAAAATGTGAAGACTTGGCTATTGCATACCGTATGGTGGCGTTTACGAGCATGAAAAATAAAGATGCTGTAATCTCGTTCTCTGAAAAATCATGGCGCATTTTTTCTATGTTCTTCAAAGATATTTTATTTATAGAAAAAACAATCAGCGGTCCATAGTATGTTGGTCATTTTGTTCGATAGCTTTGATGTTTGCTTTCTTTTAATGAGCTCCGTAATTTCTTATTCGCAAAAGAACCTTAGATTTATCTGCGAGAAGATTAACAAAGTGTTGATTTATGGCCTCATCTGACTTGAATGTTATACCACGAAATAAATTTTGGAGAGAACGAAACAGTTAAAATCTTAGGGCACAAGATCAGGTGAGTTTGATACAAGTGACAACACTTTTCCTCAAACGCCAATAATTTTTGTCAGGAGATCAAACATGTGTGGGATCTTGTTTCTAATATCCTACCACCGAGCCTATAAATCAGTCCAAATACAAATGCCGACTGGGTCGTTTCAACCAGTCCATGTTCCAGAAACGTCCAGAGCTCACTAATCGTCTAGGAATTGCATTCCATTCTGATAAAGCGAAATAATTCCAGCGATTCTAGAAAGCCTCTCTCTCTGCTACTTGCGAAGTCTGGTTAAATGTCATTGTCCTCCATTTCATCATGAATACCGTAGTCATCCACTTTGTATAATATTATCTTTGGTCCCGTCCGTAGCATTGCTCATCAATAATGATGAACTTTAATTCAAAATTAGCAGAAAATATAACTGGTCTTCTTTTTCCCTGTGGAGTCATTCATTCTAAAGCGTAAATGAATAAGTATATTTTAATCGTAAAAGCAAGGGCAGAACTAAGGAGGAAATACATTGTAATTGCTTGAGAATAGTTTCCCCAATTGACAACCAAAGTAAATTCCACTTTGCTATTGCCAAAACACCAAATGATACGCATGCCTAAAAAAGTTGGAAAACATTTAGCGCCAAACTGTTGGCTCCGAAACAGTCTGTCCCTTTCTTCAGTAATGTTGCCACCTTTTGTTTATTGCCTTGATCGGTAGAGTAGTTAGCAACGCAGGGCTGCCGTTACCGATGGGCATGGATTCAAATTTCGGAGTAGGCATAGATGTTTCTAAATATATAGTTTCTGTGCTACATGCGGCATCCAAAACACTGGTGATTCGAAAGTCCATTTGAGTACCTTGGCGGTACAGAAGAGGGGTGGAATACTCTCGGACCTTTCCCTGGGGGGACTTTCCCTGATCGGGGGACTTTTCCTGGTCGTCCCCCAGAGAATGGTCCGACCCTGGGGAAAGGTTTACCTGGGGGGACAAAATTGGAGAGAAGCTGCATAATTAGGGTGGTGGGACTAATCGGTATAATCAATGGGTGAAATTCTTCTGTTCCGCCCCCACGTGTACCTGTAACTCCTTTCCTTCAAATGGAAGCTGCAAATTAATTGGTATTCTCGTCCGATCAGAGTGGTCCTACTCAGAGTAGATAACCAATTATTTGTACATTTGATAACATATGTAGCTGGATTTTTATAGGATTTTAGATTCGGCTTATACATGAATTATCAATGTATAAGCCAATTTTTGACTGAAGTTTCACAGCAAAATCTTACCGCTTGATTTATATACAAAAGTATGGTATATTTTTTATTGACAAAATAATAATGGATCCTCTCTATACTTGTTTCCGAGAGTGTTCATACATGTATAAAGAATATATATTGGAGCTCTTAAATGTATCAATGTGGTCTCACTATTTCTCTTAAACTGTAACCATAATTTTCTGAATTCAATTGAAAACCCATTCATACCTATCAAAAATATCATAAAGGCATTTAATTAGAATTTCTGGCAAAGCAAGGGGGGGTAAAATTATAAGAAGTGCTCGATGTTCAGATTTACAGTATTATATTTGAATGGAAAGTATATTAATTGGAAAACGTTTCAGACATTAAATACCTATTAACCGACCTTACCAGACGCTGCTTGGAATGACACGTTTCCTTAATAGTAAATGAATGAAGTAATTTCTCATATAATTCCGATCCTCAGTGCTTAATTTAAAATTCCAACAATAGTGAGTTACGTCGTACAGTCATTAGATATTTTTTGGAAGCAGGAGAGATGAAAAATGAGCAACACACTCGCCGGGAATCGAACCACGGACCTCTGGAATACGCGCCCAGAGTGCAACACTACACTACGAACGCTACTACCCCCACTAAACGAGCACTGCTACACTACTACGCCCAGAGTGCAGACCGCTACGCTACGAAGGGTGCTAAGAAGGCGGGAGAAATACCTTATATACACCCCCTTTTAAAGGGCGACTGGGGATTTTAGGGGACCCAATCGCCAAATCCTGAGTGTGGAGAATCATCATCCACCACCCTTATAGTTCGGGCGCCACTGTAGTGTCATTAGGTATTTTTTGGAAGAAGTAGAGATGGAAAAATGGGCAACGCCCTCGCCGGGAATCGGACCGCGGACCTCTGGAATACGCGCCCAGAGTGCAGACCACTACACTACGGAGGCGTACTAAGAAGGCGGGAGAAGTACCTTATACGTATTTTAATAAAAAAAATCTATTTAAGCAAAGACCGGATTTAATAACTACAAGCTTTGACTTGCCCGAGCAATTAAATTTTTAATTCATTTTATACTAGTAAAATTGTTTGTGAAACTCGGAAATTATATTTTATAAGCTTTATTCAAAAAAATTACAAGGAAGCATGATTTACAGAATTCGAAAATTTATTAAACTTATAAGATAAAAAATAATATATAACGGGAAATACTTTTTCAATACTATATGTATAAATGTTGTACACTAATGATACTACATGATGTAAGTATGTTTTAAATCTCAAATCAAAGTTTTTGATATTTAAATCGTTCAATAAAAATAAACAATTTCTTTAAATATGCACCTTTCTCCTTCCAGACATTCATCTGACGCAATTGAAGGAATCACTTTCATCGCCACTTCTTTGGTTTCTGACACGGCTATTTGAACATCTTTCTTTATCATCATTGGGCAAATATTCTCTGCTCTCTTAACCTTAAGAGCTATATCTATTCTTTCGGACTCTTTTGCCATTAAAGGGTTGGGAAATTCCAGTAACGCTTCTTCACTAGTATTCATGAAAGTACCCCTTGCTGTTTTCTGCTCATTTGTTAACACATTAGTTGCTGTGGAAACAACATATAGACATGCTGTGTTCTTTGTGGCTGCAAATGTTTCCAGTGCGAGAGTTACAGAGGTTAAAAATACTTTTCCCTTGAGAATCTCAATGCTTATGCAAAATACTTCGCCATTTTTTACCGGCTGTTGGTCCGTTTCGTAGATGTCGAGTTCGTAGAAGTAATGAGTAGCATATTGTCTCGGTATTGCTCCTGAAGAATCCAGTGTTGTAGACCTGGGTTTAGCTTCAGATTCCAACATGGACTTTCTTTTACTCAAATGTTCTTCGGCGCATATCAGTTTATAATGCTTTTCGACTTCTGGATCTTTTAGTTCCTCCTTCGACATATTCAGAAACCGAACATTCTCGAATAAAGTTTTGTGATCCTGTATAAACTTCTGGGTATCATCTGAACTTATACTTCTCCTGTGGCAATAGTTAAATCCCCAACCAAGTACGGCTTGGAATACGCTTATTTCTGAATTTATATTTAAACTGTTCCTTTTAATGATGTTCAGAACTGTTGCTTTTGGCAGCGTCATGAATCCTCTCGATTTCAAGACATCTTCTGCATGTTTGTCAATCAGCTTCAGGCAGTGAAATTCAAGTTCGTTTAAATGGTAGCTAGAAGCGTAGTCATAGATTTCGCAGACGTTACTCGTTTCCAGTATTGTTATTAGATTATTAACACAAATTGTCTGCATGGCTTGTATCTGATACGTAAGAGCTGCAGTAAGAGTTTCCAGTGTTTCAGTGTGATTTTCAAAAGTAACAGTTTCGGTTTCCATGTACCTGAAAGTGAACGTCAAATTAAAACCTTTAACCTGTATTCACTAGATATTTTTATTCTATTACAATAAAAATTGATTGCTAGACAAAAGGTTAATATACCTTGTTATTTCTGAAGTTTACCTCATATAGTTTTTATGGTGTGTATTTTAAGAGATAAAGTTAAATATACAACAACAACAATAGCAAGATATGGGCATTCCTCACTCCGCGAGACTTAACCGCACTGTGAGTCCCCTTGCCCCTTAGAACCAGCCACAGAGGTTCAACCTCCGCCTTTGCATCTTGAAGAGAAGGATGCATCAGTTTTGCGATGCCGGTCGTTGACTATGATTTGCTACCTGCCAGTCGCTCGGGCTGCCTGTCGCAAGGGGGCATTACCCAGCGTCCCGGGGTTGGGCTATGTCCCTCTGCGAATGGGTTGCGTAATGTCTTTTGCGATGCCGGTCGTTGACTATGATTAGCTACCTGCCAGTCTCTCGGGCTGCCTGTCACAGAGGGACATTACCCAGGGTCCCGGGGCTGGGCAATGTACCTCTACAAATGAGTTGGGTAATGTCTTATGCGATGCCAATCATTGACTATGATTTGCTACCTGGCAGTCGCTCGGGCTGCCTGTCGCAAAGGGACATGTCCCGGCTCTAGTAAACCTCGGTTTAGGAGAGCCATCTGCTCTAGGACCTGTCAGACCCTGGGCCGGCCAATAAGTGATTTTTCCGTAGCGTAGAACCACTAGGTTCATGATTTGTATATACCCGTGGTCGAGACCGCCTAGGTACAGATTCTAGCCAATAGCTTCGCAGAGTTCTCTACGTCGACCCCCGAAGAGGGAGTTAAATTTACAAAAAAACTGGGGGAGAAATCAGTCGCAAGTTTAAACTTATATAAAATAACATGCATTTTTTTAAAAAATTTTCCATAAAATAATTTCCATTTGAAGACTGTTTCCACGTTGCGTGTTGTATGAAACGTTCTCGTGAAGGAAAGTCCTACAGACGAAAACTTTGTATTCTTTGTAGAGCCTCATCCTTTTTAGTAACATAAACTGAGTGAGAACTCAGAAAGACTTAAGCGATTTCTTGCTATGTATTGGAAAAGCTCAACACAGACCTGGAAAAGCTGTAAAACACCCTTTTATTAGAATCGGTAAATTAGCAAAAGGCACAGCTTGTGCCACAATCTTCACAGAATTAGCCAGAATTTATGCCATAAATCAAAAGTAACGAATTTAACTAAGTAAATTGTTATATAGCCAAAGACAGACAGACACGAGGTGCACAAGTTGGCTAAGACCTGATATCGGCGTGAAACGCTTAATGGCGCGAATAATGCAAGATAAACTTCTTTCAAGAAAACGGGACCTTCAGCAGGCGAAACACATTTTAATTCTATCATCTAAAACCTTCCTTTAAATACCTCTTTTCTACCTCATTTGAATACTAGAACTAGGAATAAACTAGAAATGAGCATTCTGGCAGGAAAACGGAAATCGATAAAGGCAGTAAAGCTCATTAAAATACAATAATTAGTTAATAACAATAAATGAATACGCTATATCCTTCCTGCCGGCAGTTCTCATAACATGGCATTCTTACAGAAATGTTTCGCTTTAGTATGGTTAAAAATGCCGTATAGAGAATTGTCTGATCGCGTTATAAAAACTAGGTGAATGATTTTTCTGATTTAAGGAAATCTTAATTTTATTTGATTCGGAATTATTTATTTAATGCTTTAATTTTGGGGGAGAAACAGATGCTTCTGAGAATATTATTTAATTTAAAGAATATTATTTATTTTCCTTTATTTGCAATTTTGTCCAAGCTTTGATTCTTTGTGAAAAAAAGCAGGGAAAGGGAGGCAATTTGGCTAAGTCATGATTTCGCGCGCTTTGTCCTTTAGAATGTTCTAGAAGAAATTTCATTGTGCAGTTGAACTTAGGACAGGAAGTACGTGACAGAAGGGTCAGAGGATGCCACTTAACCTTCGATGGAAGTCATTCAGGTTTTGGCAATCGGAAGGTCCGGTTGTTGGCTAGGTGAAGGAGGAGCGCGCATTCGTCCTTATTTCCACATTCAGGGGTTGAAACGCAAATTTTGCCAAAATTAAGGGGGTGATAATTGAAGCCATATTGGGAGCCCGCGTTTGTGAAGGAGACGAAGAAAATTTGAGGTTTGAATCACTTTTCGTGCGAGACTTGCTTGCTGAACTTACTTTTAGACGTTACTCTTGAAACTTGCTCTTGGGGTTGAGCAATAGAAACAATGTAATTTACGAAGAGAGACGTTTTTCCGGCGGGGAGCGGCAAATATGCTCCCCAGCCGCGTTTTGGCTAAGAGGCGAGAGACTTTACTCACTTACTCTTGGAATGACTTACTGGGTGGACTTACTTACTTTTGGGCTAAGATTGTAACTTCGAGCTTGCTCTGGGATGAGCGATAGAAGGCGAGCTGTAATTGCCTAGTGAAACGTTTCCGCAAACATGCTCCCCTGCGCGGTTCTGGCTAAAAGGCGAAATTGAACCCGGGCGGAGTGATTTAAGACTTTCAGGATTAAGACTTGTGGCCCGATTTTTCGAAGCGGAAAGACCAGGCGGACGGCCGTGCTGGGCAGCAGTGCTCCTGTTTCTGATTTCCAGAGTGAAAATTGCTTTGTTGTTATGAAAACCAGTTACCTGCCGTGTGTATTTCGCCAATAGTGCCAGGACAGGACGATGTCCTCTGAAACTTCCATTTGTAAACCATGGATAAGCTCCGCCGACGCCAAGCTATTAGGATACGAATCCTCCACTTCAAGACGTCCACCCAAGATAAGTTTATTTTTTTTGTGTTTGAACTTTAAGTAAGATTTCAACAACTTCCTTGGAATGTAAAAACAACGTCGAATCTTCTCAGGCTTTCAATTGTTTCCCTTTCCCCTTCTTAATTTACCGAGACCAAACCTTAAAGTTTTTATATGAATTAGGATGTAATAATTTAAGTTGTTTGTGTAATCTTCCTTAGAAACATATGTGAATTGCAAAATAATATGTTTTTTTTAACCTCTTAGAAATTAGTCATGTAATAGATTTGCAAATCATGAATTTAAATGTAACAAAGGTATAAATGACAAATTGAAGAATTCCCTGTGTCTAAAATAAGCAAATTGAAAACTGTAACAAAAAATAAGAAATTTGACTCTCTGATTAGGATAAGATTTAATTTTAATTGTGAGGAATTTGAATAAACTGGTATTTAATCTGGAAACCTATTACTTATGTTTCTTTATATCTTTTATGTGTTTTCTTATATATATATATATATATAGATTTTACATGTTATTTATTCGATCCTCTCACGGCGCGGTCCCGGATGCATTTTCACAACGCAATGCATTACCGTTTTACCTATACGATAACTAAAAGTGTGGCTTTAATTAGCAAAATCTTAAGAGTTTAGTTTCTCAGTTGATATTAAGTTAGTTACGGTTTCACCTGTCTGTTTCTGCATTAGTTTTCCTCTCTAAGAGGAGGTAGTAACAGAACATTGGTGTCGTGACTTCATAACAAAAATAGGTTATCTGAGTAAAATTTCAATTTAAATCTTAAGTTAGCCTAGTACAGCGGTGCCCAACCTTGTACTCGCGACCATAAATGTGCTCGCCGATCGTTATGTATGTGCTCGCCAGCCCGATTAGGTACTATGAACAAAAATATTTTAAAAATAACCATTCAGTTATATTTGTTAAATGTTAAAATATGGTAAGCATTTATACTCATATGAGATATCTTGCAAGATGTTATAAAATAACTGTTTGCTGACTGATGAACTTGATAGTTAACATGGAATCTTATTGCTTCAATCCGATGTTAGATGGCTCAGCAGGGTAAAAGTACTTCAATGATTTGTAGAACTTCTTTCGCCAATAAAGCAGTTTTGTGAATCCGGAAACGAAAGTTATAAAGAATTGGAAGATGATAATTGGTTATCCGATCTGTATTTTCTCACGGATATAACAGCTAAACTGAACAAAACGAAGATCTCCAGGGAAAAATAAAAACCCATTTTAAATTGACTGGGACTCTAACTGCTTTTCAGATAAAGTTAAATTTGTGGATAAATCAGATGAAAGAAAAAATTTCACCCATTTTCAGAATTTATCAAGCCATATTAATAACCACAAGGAAATTGAAACAGAGAAATACTCGGAAAACCTAAATGCACTGAAAAATAATTTTGAACTCCGCTTCTCTGATTTCCATAAAGTTCAACCAATATTATTATTCATCTCAAACCCACTTGCCGGAATCAATATTTCAGATGTATCACATAAGATTGGAAATATGTTTAACAAAAATGTTGATGTTTTGGAAATGTGCTCCCGATAGGCCAAAGGTTGGGCACCACTGTCCTAGTACAAAGCCCAAAAAAAATGTAGAGCCAAGCAATTTTGAATAAACTTAAAAACATTATAGACAGAGTCAAATAATCGGACAACTAATCAAACAACTTCAAAGCAAAATATCCGGGATAATAAAATTTTTCATATATTTAAGAGGAGATTTTAATGACAAAAATGTTGAAATTTTCAAATAACATTGCCAGTTGAAAAGAATAATGAAGAAATTTAGTAAAAATGGAGCTAGATCAAATTAATTTAGATAGCGATATCACAGATTAATCTCTCTGGAATTCAAAATGTTAACTTAAAAGGCATAAACATAGCCGCACAATAGGAATTTTATCTTCTAACTGTATATTCTTTTGTTGAATGAAGAGTAAATTTCAGGAAAGAATTTCGGTGATATTTAACTTATAAATTCATAAACCTCTGTTTCTAATTCATTAAAGTTCTTTCTCTTAAACTTAAGAAAGCTCCATTAATAACACAGAAATGTAAATAAAAGCACAGCTTATAAATCAGAATGGTATAGATGGTAACTCTGAAGATGAGTTTGCATTGCTAATAAACCAGAAATAAGAAAAAGACAATACGACATTCATAGCCATCAGGACGAAACACAGCAA